GTAAACACTGATAACTTTTTATATTTGTTACATTCAGGAAGTAATCTTTAATGTATATATATATACATATATATATGTATGTATGTATGTATATATATATGTATTAATAAATATCAAGCTTTATTCTGTCTTGTGATCTCTCCTGAAAGTTTTAACAGGGAAATCAAAACTTCAGAGATTCAAAGGATTTCAGACTGTTAATGGGATGATATAATTGCCTAACATTTGCACAGGAAAAGAAGTAGTGTACAAGCATGAAAACTTGTGCAACATGATGAGGCTCAGAAATAGTATTGCATATATATTAGGTATTAATTTTTTAGAGATTACCAAATATAATGAGCAGAGTTATTTTTGGAAAATAAATAAAGAAATAGCCCCCTAGAGAAAGTAACTAAAACTTCTCATGATAAAAATTGGGGTTTTGTTCTTTTAACAGATATTTACTTCAAAACTTGTAAGCAATAAAGCATTTAAAATCTGTCCATTCATTCACCTGGTTATGTTAGAGGAAACTGTTACAAACTATTGTAGGCAAAAATTAATGTCTGCAAATAAGGAAGGATTTAATTTGGTACAGTATACCTGGACTAACTCTTTAAAAACACTCTTTAAATTTTTTTGTGGTATTCACAATAAAGGGTCCCCAGTACTGTTTATTTTTTATATCCTCCACATTTTTTTTCTTCTTGGAGCACAAACTGTTGGGGGAGAATTACGTACCCAGTAAACTAGGGATTATATTTTCACATCTTAAAAAGGACTTAATTAAAGGCATACTTTGCTGGCAAGTGGTTTCTTTGAGAGGTATTTGTCCATGCAGCTGAAAGTTTAATAATATATGGACTTGGCTAAAAGGATTTGAACTGGCGTTTCCATGTTTTTCAATAGATAACTATAATTCATCTACTGACACTTTTCACCAGCTTTTAAATGAATTTCTGATGCTTCTTTAAATCGTCAGTCTAAGGACATCACACAGGACTTCAGGGTCTGCAGCTGTAACAGCTGCCACCAAGAGTTCTTGGGGTTTTACCTCAAAGCATGGCATTGTTTTATGCTGACACTTACGCTTTGTCTTTTTTCTGTAATATTTTCTCTTTCAGAAGCTGTATGTTCATCAGGACATTGCATTGTAAGCAGAAAGCTGCGTCTGCTTTAAAATTGCTAAATGCTGGCTACATTTCCTTAGCTGAGGTTCCTGAAGTCTCTGCTAAGAGAAATTTGAGTAATTTTGGAATTTATGACTGAGAATAAAAGGAATCCGTAAAATGAGGTCATTTTGTAAAAAGACCAAAGTAGTTGCTCTTGGTTTTGTGGTTTTCGGTTTGTTTGTCTTTGTTTTTCTCTTTTTACAGTTATGACCCAGTTCTGTCAAGACACAGAACATTAATTTACGTTAATTTTTAAGCATCAGTGATGTGTTTGTAGGCTTGGACCTGAATGCATTATTTCAGCAGATAGAACAAATTCTGAGCTGCTTTTTAATTTTGAGCACCAACTATGATAACTGTGACAGCAAAGTAGATAAGCAGTGCTCAGTACGTGGTACCTACTTGTATATTGTCAAACCTTCAGTATCAGTTTACAAAGCTGCTCTGCATGCTCAGCACAGCCCACAGGATGTGGCAGCAAATCCTGCTGGTAGCTGTCAGACCAGGAGAGGTAGCCCAAGCTACAGGCATTCCAGTCGAGAAATTAAAGGCAGTTCCTGAAACAGATGGAATAAAGAGCCATTGGTACTCACTTTTTGAGTGGCATCCATCATGCCTTCCTACCTCATCCAAAAGATACCAGGAAAGAGACTTCACCAGTCAATCAGCCTCCTCAGAGACATCCCCCCTTCTTTCCAGCAGCTTGGACGCTTATCAGTGAAAAGTAAATCACTAAACTGCACACTGAGGTTTATAGTAAATTAAACCTTTTCATCTCTTACCCAAGCCGTAAAAAAATTTCAAGTACAATCAGCATTTGGCTTCTATTACTTTATACTACTATTTTCAGATGTATCAGCTGTCAGTGTTTTGAAACCAAAATGAATGGAATGGATTTTAAATAATCATTTTTAATGCAATGTAAGATTAAACTTTGTAAATAGTTCTGGGTGTGGATTATAGTAATTTCTGATAACTACAGGATGACGTGACAATCAGTGGATCTACCAGTTTAGCTGCTCCCACCTCATTTGTATTAAAGTAACAGTGTCAGTATATTTAAGGAAATAAACTGTTACATAAGTGCATAAAGAATTAATTTGTAGCAGTGCAGGCTCCACCTATTTTGGAAAGAATCTAATCATGTAGGTCACTCGGGTATTAAGAATACCTGAACTATTTTATGATCGAAATCTTCATTTATCTGAGGTAAGTTTAATAACAAATTATTTATTTTTACTTATTAAAACAATTACTCTGAAAGCATAGATTTATAAAGCTGGTTAAAAAAAACTTAATGGCTAAAGAATTAGTAATAAGACAGTAAATTCACAGCCTCTTTTAATTATATGATGGCAATATGAATGGATATTGTACTAAGTTGAAACCAAATTAAACAGAAAGCCCTACACATCCCTTTGTACATAAACAAAATGTGTAATCTAATAAAACGGAAAACACAAAGTAGTTAAGTTGTTGCCTGATTATTTTACAAAAGTGTGCCTGAACAACACTGTTACAGCTTTTAATGTTCCAGCCACAATACTGTATGGTTGGGTCTGGGGTGGAGCCAATGGTGCAGGGTTTGTTTAAATGGGGACAATGCCTAAAGAGATGTCCTAACTGGAGAGGAGGGAGAGGATTTGCTGCACCTGAACTATGTATCTCCCTGATTATAAAATCAGGAGCTTTCGGGATCACAGAATCACAGAATATGCTGAGTTGGGAAAGGGACTCATCAAGATCATTGAGTCCAACTCCCAGCCCTGCCAGGACCATCCCCAAGGGTCACACCATGTGCCTGAGAGCATTGTCCAAACACTTATAGGACTCTGGCAGCTTTGGTGCTGTGACTGCTTCCCTGGGGAGCTGTTCAACCACCCCCCTGGGGACTCTGGCAGCTTTGATGCTGTGACTGCTTCCCTGGGGAGCTGTTCAACCACCCCCCTGGGTGAAGAACCTTTTCTGATATCCATCCTGAACCTCCTGACACAACTTTAGGCCATTTCCTTGTGTTTTGTCATTGGTCACAAGCTTAAAGAGATTGGTACTTCCTTTGCTTCCTTTCCTTTGAAGGAGCCCCTTCTACTCAGAGTGGGATTTCAGTAGCTCAAGCAGAATCTAAATTCTGTCACTCAAGCAAGTCTTCAAGTTGGGCTTGGTTTCTCGATGTTGCCAGACCAAAGAAAAGCCGAGTCAGTTCCTCTGCTTTCCTGCAGAGCTCTGCTGCAGAGTTCCTGGCAGGGAAAAGTATCCAGTGCCTCCACTGCAGAGTTCTGCTGAGGGCCCCTGAGCTCCGGGCTGGCTTTGGCTACTAGAGCTGTAATTTCATCAGAGCAGGGACAGTGCCATTTAGTGCAGAGCAATTCCTGCCCTGCATCTGCCTTCGTTTGTGATACAGTGAATTGCAGCCCAGCTCGAAACAAGCAATAGAGTTTTTACTTGAATGATGCTGGTCCCATTACAAAAATAAGCATCCACAGCACTTTTATTTAATGTTTAAATTACTTCATATTTTTACATAACCTGAAAAGAAAATATATTTATCCCACATACAGTAATAGTAAACAAGTGCATTATTTCAAACATTAAAAATAAATCTTTTAACCAAGTCTGTACAACAGATAAATAGAGTTATATCTACAATAGTTATGTTGTGAAGAACAAAACAAAAATTATCCCTCAAGGTCACAGTTCCCTGTTGCTCATAATACTGGCATAGATGAAGGTTATGCTTGCTATCCCCCACTATGGTGTCCACCCACTCTTTCCTTCAGTCACTCACTCAAATGTATTGATCAATGAGGTTAAATTCCCAAGCATTGGAAGAAATATGCACACAGAACAAACAGCTGAGTATTTTTTCAGTATCTTGAAAACGGCTGGCAGGCTTAGTAAAACTGCTGAATTTGGGGGAAGTAAATGATTTCTTTTTTGTTTTTTATGATGAATGACTGCTCATTCTTTAAAAGAAACTGTTCTCCACCACACAAAAAAAAAATAAAAATTGAAGTAATTATTTTCATAAATTTCTTTTGCATCCATTCAGGGCTGCAAGATTGAATTCATTGTTTTACCTGGGACAAGAACAAAAACATGCATGTGACCGTATATATGGTACAAATTAGGATTCATGTTGTTCATAATCATACATAATTGCACATATGCTTGGAAAATAATATTGCTGTCATGTTTTTGACTGCTAACAAATAATCAGAAGAAGAATAAAATGAAAAAGCAACTAGAGGTCAAACTATTACTTGAACAAAACCCACAACCAACCAAGAAATGTCCATAACTTCACTGATTAGTAGAATGTAAACAACAGCTTGCCACTGCCACACTGAAGGACTGTTTCTTTCAATTTTAAGGTTTTTGCTAAAGGAAGAAAATTAGTAAGAAAGACTGGGCACTCCTGAAAAGGATGGGAAAAAAGTTTTCTCCAAACAGCTCCAAACTCATTTCACTTGTATTTCTGAGACTCAACCATCTGCAACAAAGTTGACCACTCAATCCCGGCTCCTCTTGATACCAACAGACTGACTTGCATCCTCTTAAATGAAAATGCTATTACAGCATAGAATATGGCACTAGTTCCCTAGGAGACCTAATTCAAGGTCACCTACAAACACAGGGAGAAGGTCAAAGATCACTGTTCCCCTAAGATCTGATGGAGTGGATATAATGGGATTTCATCTGATTGGAAAAGGTTGGAGGGTCTTCAACAAATTTCCCATCTTGAACTGAGTCTGAATTTTCATTTTTTTTGTTCACTGGGATTGTACACAGAACGACATACAGTTAAATGAATTACACAAATTGAGTATGAAGTTTGAACTGAGTATGAATTTTCATTTTTTGTTCACTGGGATTGTACACAGAACGACATACAGTTAAATGAATTAGCGAAAAGTTTATGAAAAAACAAACAATTTTAGGAAGAAAACCCAAATTCTCTTTATAAAAAAATTTCGACTCAGAATTCACCATATTTGCTGAGCACATCTTAAATTTCTAAAAAAACCCCTCACAAAGTATTATGTAAACTTGTATATAATCTTCAACCACTGAATTGATGATTACTTTCTACTTCCACATGCCCAGGGTTTCATCTAACGTGCATTACTATTTCCACCCCGCACTGTTTCCAACCAGCAAGTTACCGCTTTGCTCAGAGCCCTGCCCCGCTCTGGCTGCCCGGCGGCGCTGCCGGAGGCTCGGCTCTGCTGTGCTGCCTCTGCTGGCTGCGCTCCCCGGCAGGCGGGCGGTGCGTGCTCCGTGTGGCAGCAGCAGAACAGCGCAGCCCCTCGCCCTGGGCTCGCCCAGCGCCGCCTGAGGCCCGTGATGTGCCCATGATACCGCTCGACCGCTGCACTGCTTCGCGTCTCGTTTCAACAGATATGTAAACAGAAACAAACATCCAGTAGAAAGGACTCGTTTTCACATGCAATTCTGTACAGTGCACTCTTGTTTCTCAGATTATTTGAGAAGGCTATTTCCACACAAAATATGTACATTTCCGCTATATACATTTTCCACACGCTTAATTTAAATGTCTTCTTGTACCTCCAGTTGAGAATTTTTGTTCAGGCAGACACAAAGTAAACCTGAAGAAAGTTTCCAAGTTAATGCCTTGACTGATCTTGCATTGCTGAGAAGAAGTGTAGTCCACAAAAAAATCCAACTATGCATAGCAACCTTTTCAGGAGAGTTGAGTTATCTTTAGGAACCACAATCTGTGCTAGATCATTAGTGATCTGAGAAATCTCATGTGCCACGCACACAAATATGAAAGTGCTGACAAGAACATTAAACATTGGATATCCAGGAATGAGCACCAAGATCCCCTTTGTGTCTGCTGCCAGCCAAATATGGTATTGGCAAATGAAGAGCTAAAAGAAAAAAAAAAAGTGTTTAGCACTACTTATATATGTAAATATTTTTACTTAACTAAAACCCATAGAATTACTACTATTGCATCAACTGACAAACTTTTGCTTAAGTTGAAAGCTGTTTTCCACATGTCTTTGTTACAGAACAAAAACATGAGCTTGTTAAATCACAGGGTGTTTGCTTGGCCCTTAACCAAATACAGTTCAGGGGAGCATTGGATACATTCCACCAGAGCAGGGAAGAATCTGCCTCCCTCAGTTACTGTCTCTCTGGTGAGGGTCTGAACTGACATGCTGGCAAATAAGAGAGAGTGCTTCACCTGCTGATGAATGCGCAGCTCCCTGGAGCTGATCAGCACCTAAAGCCTACCAGGAACTGGAAGAGTGAAATGTGATCCTTTTAAAAACCCACAAAATCCTGTACCCCATATATACTGTATTGCAATGAGTTTCTCCTAGAAATGTATTTTAGTAATACAATAAAATGTCTCATTTAATATCACTAAACAGCAAATAAAATGAGAAGCAAGAGAATTCCTACTGTTTCAAAATATACACTAAATGGAACAGGTAACATTTACATTATAAAGGGGTTTATTTGAAATGGTGAATTTCTTTATTAGTCACAAAAAGCTTTCTAGGACAAACACATTTATAACTGTTCTTACAATAGTAAGTAAAATTCATGCAAATTCTTCAACTGGCCTAAATTTTTATCTTCCAACTGCATAAACCTCACAGCATACTCTAGTGTTTTATCCTCACTCCCACCACCTTAAATCACCCCATTCCCTAAAACAGCACAAGAATTAAGCCTGCTACTGTGAGACTGCTATTTCAGCCATGAATTTTAAGTGCAACAAAAGCCATGATGCTAAAAAAGGTCAAACATGACAACATGGCATTTAGTAGGCCAATAAATGTTTTCTCTGTGTTATAGTCCAATCTAGACAATAACCACCTACCACCACCTTGCATTTCTACGTTTTAGTTCACTGTACTTCTGGTCATTCTACTTACCTCTAAAGAAATTTTGCCGAACCAGGCGAAGAATGAGCTATACACAGATCGGACATATCCGGGAATGTTCCTGATGAGGATGAAAGCTAAAATCTTTGTTTTGTTTTGTTTTTTTTTTTAAAAAAAAGGTAAAACAAAGAAAGTGACTGTGGATGACAAGCCAAACAAACACATAAAAAGTGTATCCATTTTCAATGCACTAAGTGAAGGGCATCATGCATTAAAATTTATTTAGAAGCTAATAAAAATATAAACCAAACCTGGTTTAAAAAAATCCATGCAGTTTATACTTAACAAAGTAGGTATTGAAACTAAAAATATTGTACACAAATGCCTACAGCACAGCAGGTGACATTCACATCTCCAGTAGAATCACGGCCTTGATGCTGACAGATGTTACTACATGCCTCCTAGGCATGGTCACAAAACATGTAAAACCATGCCAGCCTAAAATAAACGTGGCCACAAATTTGAGTTAACCCTCAGTTTTTAAAGAGAGGGTGTCAAGATGAACAAAACAATATTAAAAAATTAAATCACTCTTGCTGTCCCTCAAGAGAGCAGGACAAAAGAATAAGAAAAGAAACAGGGCACAGAATGAGACAGCTGGGGTATAGTGGGGCAGGGGACACAGCAAGAGGAACATCTAAATTTAAGAAAACCACCTGCAGGGCTCTGTGGCCCACCTCTTCTCTGCCTGGAAGTGACTACAGGGTCCCACAGGTTGCTCCCTACACTAATACCTCCAAACACTCCTGCTTTTTTACACCTTTCTTCTCTTCCACAGCTTTCTTCTTTACCACTGCTATGCAACTAGTTAAAAGTTGGCTTTGGACTTGAATGGTGTATATGAAACCTACACTAAGGACATCCAGATAAATCAAAACCACAATCACAGTGTGCAATTTCAGTGCTTAAAGGCAATGAAAAACTGACTAAGCAACGAAGAGTTGCTAAACTCTTTTTCACTTTCAGACATGGGAATGAAGCTCAATATCTGACATTCCATGAAAAAGCACAAATATATTTTAAAACAATTTTTTAAAAAGCTCAAATAAGAACAGACTAGATTCCATCACAGTACTCAAAAGGACTAATAATTACCTGCACCACAGAAACAGAAGGATGTAGCTCATTGCACTCTGTCTTGTTTTTACAGCTACTAGCCCAAATAGAGTAGGTCTAAAAGATATTAAAAAATTAGTCTGTGTAGCAATTACATGTACATTTAAAAATTAAACAAGAGTATGATATTTTGAATTGTTTTAGCATTAGTTGGTTCACTAAGATGTAGGACATAACAGAAAAAAAAAGACATGACTTAACCTTTGTGTTTCTCTCAAATTCTTCTTTGCAACTAATGAATACTTATCTCATGAATAATTCTTAATACAACTTTTTTCATCAACAATAGACAAGCAATCAAGTGTGGAAATAAGAGCTGTGTAATCTATCATGTTATTTTTATGATCCAATTTTCTTTTAAGCTTTGAAATGAACTGAAAGAGTAATGATGTTTTCATCCAAATCTGACTGAACACAAAATATTTTTAGTGAGTAGATAGGTACAGAAAAACCCAGCTAAAATACTTCCAAATAAAGATCTGATTTTTCGAGGTTTGTTAGATAATACTGACTAAACAACGTCAGAAAACCTATTTTTCAGATACTTACAAACCTGATTATACTAGGTTATAATAGATACTTACCAAAAAGGACACAACTGAAATAAATAATAAAACATTTGAAACTCTGTGGGAGAAAAGAGGATCTCCTTTTCCTTCTGATATCATCTGTTGCTTCTGCAATGCCAGATAAATAAAAGCAAAGAGCATCCCATGAAAAACCACCTGTAAAAGACAAACAGAACGAAATTAATATTTCATGGCTTTTACAAGTACTTCAGGTATAAACTCTTACTAGAAATGCTACCAGAGAAAGTAGTTTTAAAGCTATGTTTTAAAAGGTCCTTTCCCAGATTTACTGAAGCAAATGAAACCAGACTTTCTGGTTTTATGACATGAGACAGTCACAGACTGCATTTCTAACTCAACTCAAAACCTACAAATAAAGATCCTTTACTAATGCTTCAGAGAGCATTAAAGACAAGACAATTAAATTTCAAGAAGTTTTCAAGTACCTACTATCCCCTCTGCAATCTATGCCACCACTGAAAAGGCTTTCTCTGGGGAAAAACCACAAGTCTGTGGCTTTCTCCCAAACTGGCAGGTAAAAACATTGAAGAAGCAGGACAAGTGCTTCCCTCTCTCACAGACAATTCTTCAACAGAGTGTTTTACAATCTTATGCCAAGTTCTCATCAGCTGGCAACACGAGGCCATTTCAGGTCTGCACAGTGCTTGTCCTCTGTACTTATTTTGAGCTCTGCTCTTCATCAGCACCACCCAACCCACAGTGCCCACAGAACCCAGCAGTGAGCGCAGGCTGCCGGGCAGGGTGTGCTGCTGCTGCCAGCCCGGGTGTGACAACGCTCTGCCACCCAGACTGTGCCTCCCGGGGGACACAGGTGGCGCTGATCCCGTTAAGGGCAAGTTCAGCACTTAAAGGCTTCCGTCGTAGAAACTCCACTCACCTTTGCCAAGAAGGAAAGGAAAAAAGACCTGTCTCCCTGTTCTACTCGCCCACATTGCAGAGTCAATAACTGCAAGGAAAGCACTTTCCCAGTGCTTGGAAAACAATTTAAAAATACGTGCAAGAGTGGTCTGGTTTGGGCACCAAGACCCTGATTTTAATGTTTCATATGTTACATTAAAAGAAATATATCCTTAACTGATACAACTTCCAAAAAGTATTATTAAGAAAGGTACCACAGTAATTTTCCCTGTCTTTCAACAGCCTGAAATGCTACAAGTGTTAAATTTTCACAGTAAAATTTTTGAGAAAAGACAGATCTAGGATACTTGATACTTCATTTTTTTTTAAATCTAGAAGGAAATAAATCAACGTCCATCTTTTAATTAAGGCTTTGATAGACATTTGCAGTACTAAAGTGAGTGCAGCTTTGTTTTTTATTAAACACTGGGGAAACTAATGTTTTCTCTGGAGGGAAGAAAAACAACCCTCCCTCTTCCCACAAATTAAAACATACATTTAAAAGACAAGTAAAAATTTATGCAAATGTTACATACGTAGCGATCTAGCTTCCACCTAAACCACCATTCATAAACATTCCCATTCAGTTCAAAACACTTGGACAATGGCCAGAATGAAAATATCTTCTCAAATGCACCCTGTAAAAGACAAACATGGAAAAAGCATTAACACTGATGTCAACTGTATTTACTAAATTTAAATCAATAACATGTTTAATATTATTCTACCCTTATTTCAACAGCTACATGGCACTAGAAAAACAACAGGATTCCCCAGAAGTCTCCCCCATTAAAAAAAAAAAAAAACAACAAAAAAAGCCCCCCCAAAAAAGCCCAAAAAAACAACAACCAAACAACCAAAAAAAAAAAACCAAAACAAAACAACCCAAAAACCAAAAAACAAACCCAAAAACTTCTTCACATGAGAGACAGTTTGAGTTGAGTTTTGCCTCCCTTTAGCGTGAGAGAGAGTTTGAGTTGAGTTTTGCCTCCCTTTAGGGTATTTGCACACCTTCCATTTTGTAGTGCTCCTCACAGGGAGAGATCCACTAACCACTAACAGGCTGTGATCAGGAATATGCACTCCAAGACTACAGTTCAACAGGCTGAAAACCAGTGAGGGATTAAAACCACACAACTCCCCTGTAAGATCGGAGAGACAAACTCTGCCCTGACTTCTGCCAGCTGTACTTACAGCATGCAGGGAGACACTAACTTAGCCTGAGAACCAATCTTTTGATGTGGTATCAAAGCCAACTCTAGGTCTCTAAGAGACACAGAACTCCATTATCACCATATCACCATATGCATTCCCATATGCTAGCAAAACCCAGAAACTCTAAGCACATAAAAAACCCCACCCCAAACCCAAAGCACAGGCCCTCGTATTCACTACATTCACAGTAGTACATTGAAAATATGTTAAACATAACAAACCAATGAGTAAGACACAGAGTTGTGGGTTTTTCCAGCACCCAAACCAATTCAAATATGAGAAGAAATCAAAAGGATCTTTTTTTTTTTTCTTCTGTATTTATGATACTGCAGCAAATACACAAGTTATGAGCACATCAAAAAGTAGAGACAGGTAATAATATACTCTTAGGTCATTAAGGATAAATACAGCCAGGATTTACAAACCTGAGAATATGACAGAAAATATATACATGTCAGTAAGCAAATCAGTTTCAGCAGTAAACCAAAGTGCCACAGGCAGTTCCCTGAGGAAGAAATAAATTAATCATTATACTGTCATTAATTTTTCAATACCAAATCCCAGGACACATTAAGTAATAACTGCCAATTATTTAGTGTAGCTATGCTTTGCAATAGATCCATTCATAAATAAATGTTCAAACATTTCCAGCAATATTTTATCACTATCTACATTTAAATTTTACTTTAGGCCATTAAAATAAACATTCACAGCAACTAAAAAGCTATTAAGCCTAAACTAAGCCTCATGTCTAAGACTGGGACAAACTACATAAAGCAGAGAATTTAGGTGTTCAAACAGAAACACTGGTTTAAAACTCTGCTTTCCCAAACACTCTGCACAGGCAGTCCCTATTCTAGGTGAGTGTAAATAAATATATACATAAAAACCCCTGCTTTTTGTCATGGGAAACGAGTAAATATTATTAAACTTTGAGATACCAGTTTTACTCCAAAGTTCAACTGCAGGTCATTAAGAACAAGTATCTTCTTGAAACAAGCCTGAGAAACTACTCCTCAAAGCTGTAAACTGATACTAAACTCTACCAAAACCTCAGCATTGCAACAGAGATCATTGCCCCTTCCTACCATATAAATTGGCAGCTGTAAACAGGATCATAAAAAACTGAAAGTTATCATTGAAAGATTTTCTAGTTTCACAGTACACTATTGCTCTGAAGTACACAACAGTAATTTCTGAAAGAGAAGTGCCTTTGTAGGAAAAAAAAAATTAAATTGAAGATATTTGCTTTCGAGCTATCTTGTAAAACTACTCCTTAAGTGTATTTTTGCAGCATCTATTCCTGGTATATATTTGAAATGGGGATTTTCCTCCATCAATAGGGAATGAGGATTTAAGGCTCTCAAAGTTTTAGTTCTAATTTAGGCAAATTCAATAATAAGCATTTATCACATGCTTTACAGCTTTTTAATGAACTGCAACACAAACTGGGATTTAACTTCAATTTCTATTTTAAATATTTGTACCACAAGACATACTTCTAATAGCTCATTTAATCCAAGATACTAGGATAGCAAGCCCCATGTTCTTATTTGGCCAGCTAAGGCAGAATTGGTGCTCAAGATGGACAGACACCTTGGCAACACAGAATGAGAAAGTCTAAACACTCCCTGTTCACACTACTCCCTGTTCACACGACAGACACTGCCCCAGCCCCAGCAAGCACAGACAGTGCAACCTATGGTTTTATTTCCATCCAGTAAAATTACAATTCTTGTAAAACACATTCCTGATGATCAAAACCTATTCAAAAGTATTCTAATCTGACTGTAACCAGAGGCAGAGTTTAGTCATCAGCTGTTATGTTTTTCAACGGACCCAATTCACCTATGACAAACTGTATTTCTGTGAGCAGCTGTTTAGCATATTTTGACTAACAAAGAGACTGAGATCTACTAATGATGCCATTTGTGTATGATTAGCATTGTAATAACATACATGTTTTATAGCAGAAAGAAAAAAAGAAATCTTACCATTTGCTTTCTTCTGGACAATCTGAGGCCATACAGCTAAGGTGGCATAAATGACCATAAACCAGACAGTGACTAATGGCACAAAATAGTAGAATTGGTAAGGTCGGTCCATCACTATGCACAGTACCACAACCAAGAAATTGAGACGAAATAAAACCTGGGGGGTGTCAGAGGAGAGAAAACAGAGGATATGTAAACTGGGAGGCAAAACTGAGAAAGATGAGGACATGTTCCTTTAGCACTGTACAAAAATATCTATGTCTATGCCTATACCTGTTTTACATTGAAACACAGATAAAGTAGCACAGGGAACATCAGCAAGGCAATGTAAGACTGCAGGCTGATTATGTGGTTCTGGATCTGTCCTACTCCGACCTGCTTGGCTAGAGATTGCAATGAAAAAAATATTAACCCTATCTGATTATTTCCCAGGCTGGGGACCAAGTGCTCTAGTTGCTGAATGCTGTTAATGTCTCTCTTTTTTCACCCCCATAAGATACTAAGACTAGCTCAGGGTAATGTCATCACCAGGCTGTAAATGTATGTTTAACAAGCACAATGACCTGAGTAACAGCACAATGTAAGACTTAATAGCAATAAAAGAAATGTATAAGAAAAAAAAACTCAAGTGCTACAGCACATGCTGCAAAACCTAGGAGTAAAGCCACAAAACCAGGTATCTTGTACAGTGTTGTTATGGTGTGAAAATTATTTTTCTTATTAATAAACATACAATACACTGTCTTTGGAAGCCCACCTGGCTCATTACTTACATATTGCTATATACTGTAAATTGCTACTGCAACTGAATGTGGATTGCTATTTATTAAAAAATAGTTATCTTGCAATTTCGGAGTGTACACATTTGCATTTTTTACATTGTAAGTATCATTTATGTGGTTTAAATTTGTATTAGATAAACACTACCAATTAAACAGCTCAGATTACATAGAACAGCCATTTTTATTGTTTAAACCTTGGTTAAGTGATCTGATATCACATTATTTAGAGGGTATGGATATATTATGGATATTTTCCTATCTGACAAATTTATTTATAAAAATAGTAGGCAGATATTCTTACCTGACACACTCTGTATACACCAAAGTCCCCTTTTAGCCAAAAATATGAGAAGTGCCCATAACCTGTTTGAAACAGATACGCAGCAACCAGAACTCGAATGTGCATGTACACAGGCAAAAACTGTTGAGAAAAATAAAGTACCTTCTATAAATGTCCATGTAAATGTTTTTGGCTTTCTTTTTGCCCCTCTCTTTTATTCTATTTCTGCATCACAGTAAATCAGATTTAACTAAGAGAAGAAGTACTGTGGTACATTGCTCTGTTTCTTACTAAGCTCTTTTGGTGTCCTAATCTTTGATGTTAAAATCAGTTTTTTCTATTTATTGCTCTACACTTGCCATATTCTATTACTAGTTATGAGAGACTTAAGGAGGGCTCTTTGAAAGCTCACCTTCAACAGTTTCAAGTTGCTAGCAATTAAAAATAAATTAATGTAATATTTTATACAGAGGAAACACTTTTTTTACTGGTCAAGTAATGTATATAATGTTTTTATCAGTCAAATCTACAATTAGAGACAAAAACGAACTCTGCTAATGCCATGTTTAAAACTACAGAAAAACCAGAAACATTTATTGATTCATTCATCTATTCAGTTCTAATGCCCATTTACACTTTCTTTTGAAATAACACACCCAAACTGCATTCCCCCTAAAAGAAAAAGAAATTCAAATCACTTACAGTGCTTGCTCCAGAGATATGATAAATCAAAATAACAAGTTGCATCCAGCCCTTCCATTCATCAGTCTGTTCTCTATTTAACACTTTAGTCTAATGCAAAACAAAACAAGAGTGTTGCTATTCCAAAAAGAACAAGGAACATCTACAAAATGAGGAGAAAAAGTTCAAACAATAAACCACCTTATGGGTAAATGTGTCTCAACTGTAAAAGTCTTGTCTAGTGGGCAAAGATTTAACATGATCTAAATTCTCTTTTAGCTGAGCTCTGATCAATCCCCGTTTGAAAGAGTGAGAATGACTAAAGTGGTGACATCCATATGCCTTCAAACAGCCTTTGCATCTAATTCTATGCAGACATTATACTGCTTGAGATGGCATTTTTTGCAGGTCAGTTATACTGACTTTGAAAAATTAACCTTGAATACTTAGAAATTGGTTATTTTACATACATCTCGGGAAACAACATTTTAAGCAGAATATCAAGGTGATCATTACCTCTTTGGTATTTTCAGTATAAAATACCCCCAAAACCAAGATATAGACGATTGGTATGAAGAAAGATGAATGTGTGTAAAATTTATTTTCCTTCATGAAAAGATTTGCTCTGTCACACAGATAAAAATAGGTCATGATTAGACCAAGTTTGCAAAAGCAGTGTAAGAGCATCTCTAAAGTAGAAACGTTAGGTGTGCTGATGGCAGGTTTCTTCTCCTCTCCACTTTCCAAATCAGTGCATGATTTGTTCTTCCGATAATTATTCCGATGAATTAAGGTGATAATTAAATATCCAAAAATGGACAAAGTAAAGAAACAGAAAGCTATCTTCTGTATCAGAGTGAGAGGAGGCTGAGGCTGGCAGCAGGAGCCATCAATGGGCTTCATTATTTTATTGCAGTAGACATTCATAAGAATCATTGCATTCTGTAAAAAAAAAAAAAAAAAAAAAAAAAGATAACATTTCCATCAAAATAAATTTTCTTCTGCATCATGTGCTGACATCAGACATGCAGTTCTCCCTTATCATTACAAAAATAAAATCTTACAGTCCCACCATATACCCAGTTGCATTCAACAGCCGAGTCAAAACACTTCTTCCAAACAAAAAATACTTTAACTTCTAGAGGTAAGCAAAAATGGCTAATCTTAGAACAGGAGGGTTCTCTACTGGCTGTAGAAGGTCTGTAAATGAAAAATAGCTCATAAACTTGGGTTCTAAAGGGGCAGAGTAATGCAAGTATCTAAAACATGACAGTCAGACTGAAACATGCGGTAAAATGACATGTATTTCATCCAGTGACACCAGAAGTGACATAATAGGAAAGCTCTTTCACAAAAAGGGCAGGCTCATATGTATATGCATATACATACTGGTTAGTAAAAGAGATGAAATAAAGTCAGAGGCACTCCATGCAACCAGGGAGATCTATACTGTGTGTTCGTTGGCTTCTTCATGCTCCTTACCAAACCAAATTTTCTGGACACATAGAATTTTAAGACTTACTTCTTAGCACTGCTTCACAAGTCATTACCACCCTAACTCATTCATACACATGAAAGCATGGAGTTTCCACTCAGGATCTAAAAGATCTAGTGGATTAACAGTATTTTAAAATAGTTATGCACTAATGTGTTTGCTATTATGTTTTTTTAAATGCCTATAAAACTGACTGCACTACCACCCACTGGAATTTTCTGAACAAAATTCCCCGACGAAAGCAGTCCTCATTACATCCATACTGTTTGCAGTTTCAGAACATTCACTTCAGATCTTGTTTTACTATTAATACTTTTAATGTTGACCAGTGATAAAAACACTTACAGTATCTCTGCTTGATTCAGGGAGATGCAGGCCATCTGCAGACTTCATGATAGTTTCTTGTGCTATCAATTTTGATACACTGAACACTTTAACTTTAGCTTTGGAATTTCGGGAGCTGCTGTTCAGAATACGAACAGCTGCTTCATTATAAGCATCTATTTTCTCATTAGTGATCATTTTCCGACTTTCACTCAGCATATCTTCATAAACAGGATCTGAATTTCAAAGGACAAAGAATAAACACATTAATTTTATACTTATCAATGATAAGTAGCTCAAGTTGCATGGGCTACTTTCATCTAAGAGGTCACAATTGTTTAATTGTGCAGAAAAAATGTACAGCAAGGAATAAATGACTGCTACAGTTACCAGAGCTGTTTATCACGAAATGTTCTTATCACCATTCCCTATTAATGCATATGCAGTTGTAGGTTAGAAAGCCCTGTCCAGACATGAATGCTTGTTTAATGTCTCTGAATCCAGGAAAAGCAGATAATGCTAAAGTGCAGAGCTGCTTAAGCTTTCTCTCAGCAATGAAGTCACCCAAGAAAAGACTCCAAAGGAAGTCAGAATAGACATATGAAAAAAAAAAAAAAAAAAAAAAAAAAAACAAAAAAAAAAAAAAAAAAACCAAAAAAACCACCCATATGAAAAAAAAAAGCCCCAAACTTTCTCAAACCCTCTTTTCTTCTGTGAAAAAAAACCCAAAAAACAGCTCCTTCGTTCTCATAGGTCATAAACATATTCCATTTGCTCCTGTTGATTGCAGTTTAACTTATGGCAGAATCTCACTTTTACAGAAAAAAAGGTCGATATAACTGCCTACAGGATTCAGAAATTATGTAAAGCTTAAAAGAAAGCGATATGGGGTTCTAGATCAAAAGGTCACCCAGAGTTCTTTAAGCTCCTGTGAAGAGCTCCTGCTGTGACACACTCTGTGAGATGCAGATTAACTTACTTTAGGTACCTCATGCCTATATTTGGATAACCAATATCTTGACAACTCTGTACAGACCGCTTCTCCTCCCACTTGGGCTGCTAAAGAGCTCAGAGATTACGTAAATGAACTAGGTCCCTCGCAGTACCATGGTGGGACAAGTCTGACAGGTAACTGCTTCTGGTATAAATAAACATGGTTTTGAAAGGAATGGGAGACTGATTTGTTGATTCAGATTTACCTCTAGAACCATCTTTTGATAGGAACTTGGTTTTGACTGTAAGGGTACAGCTGGGTATACTGCTAACAGGGCTCAAAATCTGCCTATGTTTCTAACTAAGGTGATGACAATCTAAAATGGTGTGTCCTGTGGCAGAGAAACCAAGAGAACCTTCTACCTATGAGCTCATTGCTCAGTTCCAGGGTAATGTTTTAGTTTTATTGAAGAAAAGCAAAACAATGTAAGTTTGGTGCCATAATAAAAATCTCATTAACTTATTGTGAGCCGTGATTTCTCATCACAGTGTAGAGAAACAAGTTTCATTCTAGGGACTTAAATTCTCTATATTCTCAAGAGTGTGCCCATTCTAGACACACACAGAGGATGCATTTGTTCAACCTCTTCTATTATTTATATAATCTGAAAATTCAGTTCAACAAAACCACAGGAATATTGCTGTTGTGTGCACCTGTGCTCTTGACTCCCAGGAGGTATGTATGGAGCACAGCACAGGGAGAACAGACCTGGCATGTTGAGTCTGAGAGTAAGCTAACAAAGAATTAAGAGTTCATAAGGCAAAAGTTTTTTCCTCCTAGAGCTTTGAAATCTCTATCAGTAGTAGCAGCTATTCAGGTATCAGCTTAGTTACAACTGCAAGAAAGGAGAGACTGAAGCTCAACCAACCAACTGCAAGTAAGCAGTATGGATTAAGTTTTCCATATCCCACAACATAATGATTCAACAGACAGTGAGGTTAAAAATTGTTACCTACTGTTCATTACTTTACCTTGTAAGACCCAGTAAACATCACTACTTATTGCTAATTTTTCCAAAAGAGGTGCAATTGAAGTGATATTGATTTTATATTGTGCAAGAGCTTCGTTGCTGCCATTGTGAATCTTGATAGACCACTGGAGAAAAAAAGAAATAAATTCAGAACAAGTGTGTCTGAGGACCCTTAATTAATTGATTCCCTTGCTCCATTTGTAGCTATTTTTCATTATTTCAATACAGCTAGATTTCTTCAGTTTCATATTCAAAAGTGCTAAAAAAATTCTATCGGACCAAGCAGCTGTCCAGACAGATAATTACATTCAATCTCATCATCCAAATACAGAATATTTAACATTCAACTTATGTGTATGTTTGACTTTTCATAAATTAAACTACACAAGATGTTTTAATTCAAAGTCTCCTGGCTTTATCCAACAATGAAGTAACAAAGCCACTCTTGTTATCAAAAAATCTTGGCCAGTTCAACCAATTCCACTCTAGACTGACTACAGCAATAGATGCATGCAAACAAAACTAGATGGTGGTATCAAGTTCCAATATTTCCATCTGTTTTGCAGATATCCACAAAGGGGGAAAAAACCCTCAAAAACCAAACAAGAGCCATTTTAATTTCTGGTTTAATGTTCTACAGGAAATCCCTGGGAGAATGCTATAGCCACTCAAGAATTCCTCCTAACTTTTGAAAATTATTTCCCACACTGTATGAAAAATGGAGGCAGCTTTTTTTTTAAAGTGTTATGGTATCTCTACTGACTTAGTCAAAACTAAAAAAAGCAAAACCATAACAATTAGCCTAAATGTAACAAACCCTATTTATCTCTAAATAGCCAGATAAAAATTTCATCATAAGACAAGTACACTGATTATTGCGCTTCCTGAAAATATTATTCAATATAAATTAATACTTCATGAAACCAAATAATTTACAACTGCTCTGAGAACTCACACTGGAAAAAAAGAAGGAGTTTCTCCTAGCAGCTAATTACTTAATTTGAAACACCAACAGTATTTAACAGACAGTTAAAGCAGCATATTCCATACAACAGGAAGTCAGGAATTAAGAAGAGCATGGTAGTCATATTCTCAGAGAAGCTCCTCTTCCCAAAATAAGAAAGCAACTGACTTTTGTATGAGCTGGAGCTCCTCCAGCTTACAGGACTACTATTTATAAACCATTATGCAGTTGCCATCTTAAGACAGACATGTCCAGGCTGAAGTAGCATGACCAACCCAAGAGCTAAGTTAAAGATATAGATAAATTTCAAATGCAACGAAGTCCAAGAGCACACACCAGGTTAATCTAGTGGCAGGTTACCACACCAGTGTCAGCTATGGTGAGGTTGCTGATATGTCTGATTTTTGAAGATTTTATGTTTTTGGAAGTCCCTTAAAAGAGAGACTGTTTATCTTTGTTCAACTCTATATCTAATATTAAATGTTTTGTATAAATATGCTAGTATTAAAAAGAGCAGAGCCTCCCCTGCATATTGTTAGTTTCTAGTTTCTATCTCCTGCTGTCCACAAAAGGCAACAAGCTATGGCTAATATATACCTATGAGTATAGGGAATTATTTAGCTCAGTGTCCTGCAGTTCTGCAACCTGACCTTTTGCCTGCCAGAACATTATCCATATATAATGGCATTTTCTATACCCATCCTAGTAATAAATGATACAGTCTCAGACTGAGAAATTATATTCTAGGCTTAGTACAATTCCTAAAGCTCAAATATTTATGTGGATCCTAAAGAGGAAGGGAACTTAGGGGTTCACTTAAAAGAAAAGGAGAAATTTTGACGCCTCAGGAAATGTGTGGAAGGCTACATACACACACAACCTCCTCTTAAAATTGAGGGAGTTCATCCTTAGATGGGCATGCCCACAAGTTTCCAGACTGGTAGAGTGCCTCAACTGTCTGTAAAACACACTGCTTTTGAAGGATTTTGTTTTAAATGCAACACATTTACCCCCCTTTACATTTCAGCTCCTATGAAAATAAATTAGCTAACTCTTTCCAAATTCCAATTCCCAAATATTTGGAAGTAAGGGACATTAAATGTGCAAATAATGAGATGAGCATTTGTTTGATTCGACTTTGTTACTAGAACAGACTAATTAGGGGCGCCTGCTGAATTCCACCCCTGGAAGTTTTAAAGAATTGGTTGACTCTTGCCAAGTACAACACAGGTAGAAATATCCTGCCTGGTGGCAAACTGATGGGTCAGGACACCTCTTCTGGTACTTGTCAGCACTGTTTTCTGTGATGCTGCAATGCATATCAGTGGTGGAATCTTCCAGTGCAACAAGATCTAGAACTCCAACCTCTTTAGTTGGTGAACTATCCATGTAAATTTATGATTTTTACCTATATATATATATATATATACATATTTTTTTTTTTTTTTAAAGAAATATGTGTGGTGAAAGAGACCATCCCACACTGGGCCATGCTCAAAAGTAGAATTTTGTGACCAAAAAAGGTGTATTAAAAATACACTTCAGTTAGTATGCAAATACTTCAACTTTTAAAATTAAAAATCTTTTTTTAACCAAATCCATTTTATTAGCTAGGTTAAAGCAAATTAATGCTTATTAACCAGTATTGCTGAGAAAAAGCAAGTACTGTACATCAAACAGGTATAATAAAGCATACCTGGTATTTTAAAACTACTTTTTGTAACAACGAATTCACTGAGAATAGATATTTTACTCTCAACTGTGTTTAACAACTTGATCATGTAACCAACTTGAGAATATTAAAAGTTATCCTATAAGAACTTCCTACTTCTCTAAAATCCCCTATATATGTACAACTTACCGTGGCAGCTCCTACTACAATTATATGAGGTTTTGCCACAGAACCCTAAGAAACAAACAAAGAAAGGAATTGGTTTTAAAATATTCTTAAATTATATTACGACTCATATCTTCATTAACTGTGACTCACTGGCCTATCAGCTAATGGCTACAAAAGAGTAGATTGCAGATATATTGCAGAGAACATACATCTGATATATGCAAGATACATAACAAAATTCATATAATATAATCTACAGAAGCATGAAGCATCAATAAGCACCTATAATCCTGATCAATTTAGCAGCACAAGCTCTCTTTAAAATATATTTAAACATCTTCTCCTAAGGTCAAATAAACCATAGATCACACTTTTGAACTATTTATCTCAGTCTCAGCATTGTCAAACATCTGTTAGAGCTGCTGCATTGACCATTGTCACCCCAGAGGTTGTGACAGTTCTGTGTAGGACAAAGACAAGGGTCAGTGTACTCAAACAAAAGAGCACAAGGAAACAAACAGTCCTAAGTACCTCAGTACCACTTTATGCCAGCACAGCAAGGAAAACCAGCAGCTCTCAATTTTTTGTATTAACCACATAAAAAGAAAACCAAATGATAACTTCAGCTGTCCTGATGGGAAGTCTTGTGCAAGAATGATCAACAGAATAGCAAAATAATCACTGCGAGCTACTACTAAGTAACTCCAGGCTATTGAAAGGTCAACAAAGGAAGAAACAAGAAAAAATTAGCTGCCAATCTGTAAATGCATTACTTGTCAGAGTTACATACAGAACAACACGGCAGCCTGCAGCATAATTGAAATATATAAAATAATTAGCATGCTAATTGAGGGAGATATTGAAAAAAAATAAAATCAAAGAATTCTTGACTTTGCAAATTATCTTTGCCCTTCACTCTGAAATGCTCAAATTAACATATAAACATAACATCATAGAATCATAAAATATCTCAAGTTGAAATGGACTAATGGATCAAAATATTTGGTTACATTAAAGTGGAGTCATTGCAGCCACAGAGGAAGTAAAATGCCAAACCAGACTGAAATTCTTTTAGCTCTTAATAGTATTAATTAACTTGTTCCTATGAAGTAGGTTTTTTCTAGTTTGCTTAGGGGTTTTTAAGGTCCAAGTGATACCATCCTTGGAAGACCAGGAGATACCCAGAAACATATACACCAGTAAACATCCCCCCTTCACCACTCTAAAGTGAAATTATAGATCTCTTAAAACAAACCTCAGTCCAAGATTTGATACGTTGCCTCATAGAGCCATTAACTTCTGGATACCACAGAAAATCCTGTAAAAAAAAAGGCAGTTATTCTGCAAGCTTACAAGACAATCAGTAGACTAAAACCAAAAAGTGCAAAAAACCAAACTAATTGCCATCAATTCAATTCTAAAGGAAAAACATTTTACTCAGAGTGTGATTTCCTTATAATTAGCATGAAAAGCCTGATATCTTACTCCAGCATGGAAAACAGAAAGCAAAGAAAAAAAAGAGAAGAAGCCAACAAATCCACAAAACTTTTTCCTCATAAAAACCAAATTTTTATTTGTAGTTCAGGAGTCAGAATTTCACCAAGAAGGTATTTTTTAAATGTCTGTTAAATGAGATGTCCTTGAGTTTCTACTGAAATCAGGGATAAATCCACAAAAGGTCACATTTATAACTTATTAGAACTTAGTTTTCCACATCCTTACCAGCAGATTTTCTTTGTTCCACAGCTTAAAATTGATAGCATGAAATCATAATTTTCAAACAAAATCAAAACCTAACAATTCTTTTAGATGCCAGGAGCAGTGCCCAGCTTTCATCTAGAAGGACAGTCTAGACTAGTGCTTTTATGTCTCCCAGGGAAAGCCACGACTTCCTAGCATTTAGTTACTCCTCAGGACAGCACTATAGAATAGTCTAAAAATACATGTTGAAGGGAAATGGCAGGGACTACACATGCAGAAACTATTGTGAGGAAACTTTGTAACAGAATGCTGAAACACTATCAGCAGAGAGGAAATCTCTATCTTCCACTCCTCTGGATTGTTACATTTTGGTAGCTCCCGTGAGTACTCCCAAGTCATTATTTGGCTGTGGAACCTGCGAACAATCATGCAGTCCTCTACAGTGGCTGAAGGACAGAAGAGTTACTGTGATGACTAGAAAGGGCAAAATTAAACTCTCCACTTGTTCCCAGTAATTTTCTCTTTTGATGGTCAAGTATTTTCCACATTTGGATTACTGGGTCACAGCCAGTCTAAATATGGAAATTCAGCTACCATGCCAATAATGTTGAAGAGCATCAAAACAAGGAAGCAGCAGACTGGAAATACATTAACTATCAGACATCTCCCAAAAGCCCAGACGTGCCATCTCAAATCTTTGTGGTTAAGGAGTTTTGAAGATGTGACCCTGTCAGGCTAGCCCAACGCAAATCACACTGCATCAGCCCCTTCCTCCTGCCTTGTGTTCTATCCCATCTTTTCCAGCATTCAGATAACCCCGCGATGGACTTGATTGGAAAGGAATCCTACAAAGTGACTTTTTGGCTGAATTGACTCCTGAAACAACCCATTCCACAGCTTACCAGTAAGTGCTAGCTACAGCACAAACACAGGAACATGCTGTGAACACCAACAGAGTAGGTCAGCACATGCTTACATTGCCATGGGCTTACCACCCCAAAACGTTATTCTGTACCCTAAATCTTAACCATGTACACAAACAAGTACTGAAAACCCACATTCAGACAGCTCAGCAAACACAGTGCTTCTTTGGTTTTGGTGAATAGAGAATGAGTTTTCTTCAGGGCATAAATAAATACATGACTAGCACAATGCCAGCACTGCTGACGGCTGTCATGTGAAGCAAAGAAAGATATTGACGACAGCATCTCCATTGCCAGGGCAGAGGAGAACAGAGTCCTTCAGAAAAACTAGCCCCAAGTACTCTGTTTTCTTTCTTTAAATATCCCCATTATAATCAACACTGTGCTTATTTCTCCATGCAAAAACAGTGGAAGGAATACCTGTTGAGATAGCATAGAAAACTCAATGGCAATTAAATTACCAATCCAAGGAGACCCAGATATATATTTTTACAGCACAAAAAGAGTAAACTTCCTGGCAAAAGGTATGCTTGGAAAGGCCAAATTGTAAGATCTGACATAAATTATACATAGTACCAGAGCTCATGCCCAAAACTAAACCACAATACAAGTACTCCATGCCAAATTCTCTTAAAATAACAGTATGTTAAGATGCACTGTGAAACATCTGTGAAATATTTATAAAGAATGTTGATGGTCTTAACCTTCTTTTAACTTCTCAGCTCTGACAGCATTTTCAACTATATTGTATGCAATAATAACACGATTATGGTTTGCAATTTAACACTACATAAAAACTTACCACTTTAATTGAAGCAGATTTATCTTCAAATGGGATATTTCCATGCTGTCAAAAAACCCCAAAACAAAGAAAACAAAGTAAGAAAAACTTTCAGAACGAAAACAAAATATTTACATACCTATGCTAACTTGCTCTCACACAATATGTATCTTCAGTGGAAAGGATTTTTCTTGTATAAACTTGTCAGTGTACTCACATAAAATATTTATGTTGCTTTCTTGATAAAACAAGCCACTAAAATAAACCGTTCTTTTTCCTGGAAGCAATCTAGCCAACAAAGTCTGAAATGCTTTCTGCTCACTCTGTTACAAAGGCATCAAATGTTTTCCTAAATTTAGCTTCCCAACATAAGAAAAACTTATGACTTTTCCTCTTTCTTTTCTTACACTGCCTTTTTCCAGCCTTCCTTTTCATCTGCCCATCTCCTTTACACAAGACAACCAACACAGTTTTAATTAAAGAATAAAAGAAAATAGTCTCAGGCAGAAATAAAATCTATAATGCATTATTAAATTTTCTGAGTGAAAACTGTAAATCAGAAAGGAATGAGTCAGATATGCATTCACAATACTCCTTTAAAATTGTAAATTACAGTATTAATTTTGGTACTGATCCCTAAGAGCAAGTGTACTTCTCTTCTTCAAACTGAGATCTTGATTTCAGTAACACTTGACAAAAAATACTCTCAACTCAAAATCAATTACAGCACTCTATTATCTCACCATTACTTTTGGGCAGCAAGAGAGACCTAACCAATTGACTAAGAAAACCAGAGTTCTTGGATCAATCAGACATCTTGTTTTGACAAGTGATTGCATGCTGCATGCTGGACAAGCTGCCACCTTGTACTTCTAAGTGACAGAATTACTAAATTATTGACAAATCTTATGTACTGTTGAAAGGTGCCTTTTCTATCACGTATGTACATAAATCTATGAAGATATGTGCCCAAGAAGTATCACAGAGCAAAAGAAATCAGCATTTTGTTCAGCAAATACACCTAAATCCTTTCTTCCTCCTTCCATCTGGCTGCAGTTTACATACTTAATGTTATAAAATTCAGACAGCTCTTCATCAGTGATCAAAAAGAAGGTAAGACCTGAAGATATTTTTAGTTTCAGCTTCAAGTTAGACCTGGAAATCTGTCATTGCCCCAAGGACTTTTATGAACAGATTAGATCAGCAATTTAACTGACATTTTAAATGACAAATTAGAAGGCATGAATTACTACTATTTAAAAACACACAAAGGAGCAATCATTTTCTCATCAAGAAACCAAATACGAAGCACAAATTGCTATGGGACAAGTCAGCTTCATTAATTTATTCCGAGGCTGCTGCAAGCTTTCTCTTGAGCTTCCAGTTCTCTTCTCAGATTCGCAATTATCTCATTGCCTATCACTTGTACCCAAATAATTATTTTGGTCTAGTCTTGTTCTTCTTCAAAAGACCTTTCTGTGCTTCTCCTTTCATATGGTGAGACCAGCAAACAGTATAATTTGATTTTTTGAAGTTCAGACAAGAGTTATGAGGTAAATTGGGAAGAAAGAAACAAAAAATCAATCACCAAAACAAGCTATCTCACCTTAATTCCCTCTTCTTTGACTTGAGGATTTATCAGTTTTATGAATGAATAGAACAGCTGTCGAATTCTAGAATCTCCTATAAACACAACATGTTTGTCTATGAGGCAATTTTTTGCTTCACTGTAAAACAAAACAGCAACATTACAGAAAATACGTATCTTAGAAGTATTCTCAAAATCTACAGAGCTATATAGATAATTCTAAACATTACATCCAGCTCTAAGGCATGATAATTTTTTTTAACATGCTGAATTAATAAACAATTTATTGCAATTTGAATAGAATTAAAAATGAACTCTCCTGCTAATGTGATTAGGCAAACAAAAAAGCAGGTTTTCCTATTATGTGTGCTACAAATACAGTTGTTTCAAAATGGTAATATACAGCATAACTCTAAAAAAAAAAAGTTCTCTTACTAGGAAGTGAAAAAAGTGATAGGCAATTTTATTTGGGATATTTTTACTTGCAATTTGACACATAAAGTCAGCAATCTGAGAGTGATATATGCAGCCTCATGTGGCTCTCCATAACTTGTGCCAGTATCTCCATCACCAATATTTATTTTTATTTTTATACAGAAATACAACTATGGTAAACACTGTAGACACAGATAAAGTACTTGGAAAAGACTTCTTTCTCATAAATGCACATTTTTGAAAGCCTAGAGAATCAGATATAAAGTGAACAATGGATTATGTTATTCCTACAATTACAGCAATTACTACAGCTGCAGTCAAACAACAATCTTGCTTATTTACAGATGAACAGAAGACATGAGTTTCCTTACCTATTTTTATACTTATGCATCATACAACTGTGAGGTTGCCATACTTTTTCTCCAAGAAATCTCCCACTGGACAGAAGATACTCACATGTATCACCACCTTTGAAATGTTATATTAAGATTAGTATTCAGACACATAAAATGTAAAACATAGCCCTGTTGCCATTATAAAAAATAATATGACAACATTTGAAAAACAGAAATTGAAATAATCAACAGCAGCAAACAAATTTAACTGATTGTAAATACATCTTGCACAAGTTTCTGCAAGCTGCCTTCTCACTCATTATACAATACTGCTCTGTAAATCCAACCCCTAGCCACAAAATGTTAGTGATCCCACTTCTGTTGTCAGAAAGATGCTGTGACTTAGAATGGCATTTCCTTTAAGAGATGCCAATCCACTCTGCTGTCTACTATCCCAAATACACTAATATAAAATTAAAGAATACAACTGTTGAATAAAGTAATCTTCTACACAGAATCACATACACAGCATCTTGTATGGAACACAAAACTCATTACAAGGTTTGCAAGACATCTGGTCATGGTCATGTGGTCACCTTAGAACAGGTGATATGGGTTAATACACAAAAAAACCCCCAAAAAATCCAAACATTTACACATCAATTTGCTGATCAATCTGAACTGCACTTATCTCTTCCAATCAATAAGCTGTATGCTAATTAAGATTAATCACTTTACAGGTGCTGATGTTCCAGGTCATGTTAAATTTCAAATATCTCAGTTATGAAATCAGTGACTGTTATCTTCCCAACGCCATGTCAGATTCTGCTGCTTTATAACTGAACACAACTGAACCCATTCATTGCAAGAGAAGTTGCTCTCCAACATTTTTGTCATACTTGGCATTTCTGAGCACTGACAAACAGGTTGTGAATGAAGTGGTAGGGACTTGTTGTAGCTTGGGCAGAAACAATGTACCACTGCCCATACCTAAAACTTTCTCTGAAACCTTCACTTCATTAAGCTCAACTCATACCTTGGTTTACGAGCAACACAATTTTCTCTGATTCTCAGACTTGAAAACTCATGCAAACTATAATGTCAAGCAAGTTGCATAAAAAATGAAACTGTCTGGAATAATAAAAAAAACCCCAACTAATCAAAAGCAACATAAGTTTGATAATGAGGTGGTTTAGAGTTATTACTGATATGAAGTCCTCCACTTTTCAGATAATGACAACTAGGAGATGTATTGAAGTGATGCAAGAGTGAACTTTGTAAAAGAATATCCACCACTAATCAGACTCCCTCTGACATCCATTAACTTGCTGAGAAAGATGTGAAAGAAAATCAGAACAGTTATTCATGGTCAGACCAGTCTAGCCCAGTATTCCATCTTCAACAGGGACGAAAAGCAGATGCTCAGAGATAAATTAGGAGAGGGCAAATAAACATTATATTCTTGCCTAATATTCTCCCAACTATGTTCATTCCAAGGATTTAGTGAAAAGGACATGCAGTCTTCAACTGCATGTCCTTTGCACCCACAGAGTCCTTCTAGAGTTTTCTATATCCAGAGCTGATGTTTGAAGAATTATCTGCCTTTATTTGAAATACAGTTTCTACTAGATTTACTTGGGGCACTCCCTGGTTCTTCAATGGGACAAGGCAGTTTGGACTGAAGTCTATCATGATTTGTAGCCCGCTATCCCTTCTTTCTCAATCAAAGTTTCAAGAGTAGAGGATGTCCTTATATATAAGTCAAGATCTGTACCTCTCTACTCCATGGCATTCCCACCCCAATAACTGCCCCTGAATGGATCAATCCTTCAGCCCACAGTACACTCACTGAAGTAATATTCCAAACATCACACATTTCATACATTTCAAACAGAGAGACAAAATTGCATGTCAAGGGGTTATGCCTTCTTTCCCAACTTCAGGTACTGATTACCTCACTACTGCCCTGAGCAACATTAGAAAGCTCCTGAAATCCATTCAGGCTATTACTGAAGTTTGATATCCTCCTTTAAACATAATTGTAGAAAATAAGGGGAGAAGATGAGGGAGGGGAATAAAACAAAACCAAAACAGCAGTAGAGAGGAGGTTACAAACCAGACAGTGCCTCCAGAAAACTCAACTCTGGATTTAGCAGGTGAAATAGCAGCCAAAAACTATGCTCATTTTAATACACTACAACTTCTTCTTAACCATCAATGAGATCTTAAAATAAAAAACCAACCAAACAAAAAAACTCAACCAAAAAAACCAACCCAAAACCCAAGAAAAAGAATTTCAAGTGCCAATGTATACACAAACCACAGACCATTCTTTTTAAATTCTTTCTTTGTGTAAATTATCCTTCCAACACATTGTTTTATGCTCACTTAGATACACAACATTATAGTTATACAAAGTATAAAATTTTTCTGAATTTTTTTATGTTCATTATTCTAATTTATCATTCCTCAAAATCATGATTATTCAATTGAAATTGTGAAATCTCAAAGTCTTCATTTGGCACCAGAGCAGACCGTTTCACAAAGCTTTCTCTAAAATACATACTCTCAAAGAGCTGGAAATTCAATTGCTCTCTATTACTCAAAGTAAAAAATGTAGTTTTAAACAGAGTCTACAACTGTTGATTTTAAGAATGCAAAATTTTAAATAAATTCTTATTTCCAAAACAGTTTAGGACTGTACCTTTGAAATAAAACAGCTGAAAACCTCAAAGCATTAACTTCACTGGATAGTATGTAAACATTCAACCCACTTAACTCTTCACAAATTAAAGACAGCCTGTACCTTCTCTTTTTTCACATTCTTTTGTGAAAAAATGTAGGTGACCCCTAAATACAACAGTCTTCCTGAACATAAATCTGACCTTCCACATCCCCAGTTCAGCATTTTTCCATACAAGTAAATTTTACACAGCAAGTTTAACTGGAAGTAGGCTGGGCTGCTCCGATCTATAATATGTACTGGCATGGCTGTGGCCAAAATTAGCTAAAACCTCTCTGTGCAATGACAATCAGACAAAAGGGGAAGTGTAAAAGCACAACAAACACAGCAATCACTTACGTGACACAGCCTGGCTTCTTTGAACCTGCTTGCAGCCCTACCTCAAAAACCCTCGGGAAATCATAATAACCCTTTCTGGAATATTTTGATATAAAAATCTTGGTGTAAAATGTCTTATGTGTAAAAGAAAGTGCTTTCTTGTGATCATTTAAAATGTATTACCTAATTTCATTTGTCAGTTGATACTTTTTGTGTGATGGCACAGTAAAAATCAATTCACTTCCCGCAATAATTCCTGACATTTGAGAACACTAAGAAGTTTCTAGGTTTCTGTCCAGGCTACAGAATTTTAGTTTATTATTTATCAGAGAGAAGCTGTTTTATTCTTCTGCCATTTATGCTGCTCTTTTCCACTTATGACAGAACTTTCCAAGTTCCATCATACCACTACTAAGAATGAGAACATCACTGAGAATGAGTGAGGTGCCAGTGAGCTTTAGTTGTGCACTATCAGTGAAAACCTCCAGTTTTCTCATTACTTGTCAAAAGTACTGTGGCATTTGCTGAATTTCAACGGTTTGATATCACTGCAGGTCTGCAGAATGATCTTTTTGATTAGAGAAACTCTGCTTTTATCTATCCTAAAAATTCATCTGCTGTAATTTTCCCACCTTCCTTTTCTAAACTTCTCTTTTGAACATTTTATGTTCACAGAAGCCCAAATTGGTAAGTCTATTTTCACTATGACTCCATGTCCTCCTACCTTTTAAACACTTCTGGGAAAACCTTTTCCTTACCCTTTAATTGCTTCAAGAAACTAAAAGCCTTAGGTGAAAAAACTTTAAAGGTTTGTAACAATTCGTACTGACTATATCAATTTAAATAAGAGCCAGCAGATTATCACCATTTTGCAACCCAAGACTCACCCCTCCACATCAACTCTCACAGAATATACTGAAATTATGCATATTTTATTTTCCTTGTAACCTGCTTGATATGTCAGTCCCCATTTGCTTAGTCTTCCCTCTTTAAAAATTTGCACCATGCTTCTGTCTAGTTTTGTGACTTGTGCCTGCACAACAGGCAAGTTCAATTACCTCATGCTTGATCTACTCTAGAATTCAGTAAATGCTTCCAAATCTTCCAATTTAATACTAGTCAGTTCATCAGACTTACCGACATGCCAGCTAGAGGGTGAATCTAGGGAATTGTAAACACAGAGATCCCTACCCCTTTTTCCATTTCCACAATGAACTGCCTCGCTCAGCCCTGTCTCCCATGAATGCTGGCAGCCAAGTGTTAGAACACGACACCAGTTGTGCGACAACAAACAGAGCCGCGGTCATCTCCCTACAGATCAACTTTTTCATTTACCCACAAAAACATACCACATTTCTCAGCATGACACAGAAACAAGTAAATATATCCTTCAGCGGCTGCATTTGCATTTACGGATCGCGCCAAGTTTCTCTGCTTCAGGGCCAAAACAACCCAGCGAGGAGGAACGAGCAGAGCTGCCGGCGCCCCGTAACCGAGGCGCAGGGACACAAGGGACACAAACTCGCCCGGTGCCCAGAGCTTGTCCACAGCCACCGACAACACGTGAAACCAAACGGCGCTTTACTGCGCTTCATCCACCGGTTTCGTTATGTTTGAGGCGATGGTTCAAAGAGTGAAACAACATATACCAGATCTCGTACCAATTAAGACTTTAACCACTAATTGCCAGGTAACTGGCCATTAATCATGCCGTACAGAAACAAGTGACAGGGAAGAAGTCACCCTCTACCCCTGCAGCTTCACCTGCCGCAGGCCGGGCCCCCGGAGCTGCGGCGAGCTCTCAGCGCAAACACCGCACAGCCACAGCCCCGCTCGCCCCCCTCACTCCGCGGGGCCTCGCCAGACCGGCGGGGCCTGCGGCGACCCCCAGGCCGGGCCCGCGGGGCCCCGCGGGCCGGGTCCCCGCTGTCGCCCAGGGTCGCGTCCCTCGGCAGGCAGCGACCCGCCGCGCCACGCTGCCCAGACCGCCCCGGCTGCCCCGGGCGGAGGGACCCTTCGCCCTCCCTGCACGGCCGCGGCTCCCGGGCTCCGCCGGGGTTCCACCGGGACTCCGCCTCCCCTGTCCGGCAGCCGCGGTCCCCCGCGGAGCGCCCGCGGCCGCCCCCTCACCTCGGTAGCGGCGGGAGGCGGCGTGGCAGGCGGTGAGGAGCAGGACGGCGCCCAGCGCCAGCGCCTTGGCGCTCCTCACGCTGAAGTAGTAGTTGATCTCCCGCTTGCCCCCGGTGTAGGCCAGCGCCGCCATCTTGGCTCCTCCATGACAACAGCGTGCGATGGGGCGGGCGGGCGCGGCGGGGCAGCACTGGGTCCCCGCCGGCGGCCAACGCGGACCCCGCCGCTGCCGCCACCGCCGTCCCCGCCGCCGCGGCCGAGAGCAGCCCCACGCCCCCCTGCCCACGGGGCGGAGCCGGCGCCCCTCTCGAGGTGCCGCCGCTTCCCCTCGGCCGCCAGCGGGCGGCCCCAGTGTTCGCCTCCCCGCCCCGCAGCGCCCTGAGGATGCGGTGGCTCCCGGTGGATTCAGCGGGGTCCCACCGCGCTCGGCCCGAGCCCCGCCGCTGAGCGGGGGGCGGCGAGGCGGAGACGCCCTGGGGACTGTGCTCCGTGAATGAGGAGCTGGGCGAGGGTCTGTGCCGCACACGGTCCGTATCGGGCACTGGACAGCGAGAGCTTTGTTCCAAATAATGCGATTTTTAAACACTTGTCACTCTTCTGTTGACAACGAAATGGCCATTCCAGGCTGGGAGACGCTTACTCCCTCTGAACCCGGGTGACTGTTCAAGCAAGCTGACACACTCACAGAATCACAGAATCAGGTTGGAAAAGACCTCTGGGATTATCGAGTCCAACCTGTGACCGAACACCACCATGCCAACTGGACCATGTCACTGAGTTTAAGGAAAGACATGCAGTCTTTCCTAAACACCTCCAGGCATGGTGGCTCCACCACCTCCCGGGCAGCCCATAATCACCTTTTCCGTGAAGAAATTCTTCCCAATGTTCAACCTAAATCTACTGTGGTGCATCTTAAGACTGTATCTTCTCATCCTATGGCTATTTGCCTGGGAGAAGAGGCCAACCCCCACAGATTTACCTGGGTTTGGTAGATGCATGAAATGATTGCTGAAATCAAACTTGCTAAGGTTTACAAAAGCGAAATTCTGCTCCTCCACAAGCAGCTATCTGAGTTGGGCAGGAAATCTAGGCTCCTATTCCAGTCCCTCATCAGTGGTGGGGCTGGGAAGCTGCCACCAGCCCTGCAGGCCTGGAGCAGGGCAGGCTGTCACAGGAAAGATATTTCCACAAAATAAAGTAACATATATAAACCGTATAAACAAATTAAAAACTTAGGAAATCTGTACAGTATGTAGCCACATAATGTTATGTACATACAAAATTTGAGTTCTAAGTATTCTGTTGTGTGCTGTTACTATATGTTACTATATGTATTCAATGTATGTCCCATTTCTATCCAACCAATGTCTTTACTAACTGCCAACATGTGTAGACTATACTTCTTTTCTGTTCAAGTCTGTCTGTTGATTCATTCACTTTTTCAGTATTCTTTTTAAATTATAAAAACATTTCACTATTTTAAAGCGCTCAGGTTTATTCTCTTAGGGAAAGAGAGAGAAAAATGATGCCAAGTATACAGATGGGTAGTTATTTGGCTATGTTTTTCCAGAAAAACCCCAACATAACCAAACTAAAACTAACCAAACTAAAACAATGACAACAACAAAAATCCAGACAAACCAACCCCCCATTTCTGGTTGTAGTAGGGATGTTTTTACTCCATACATGAAAAAATTCTCATTGATGCATTATTTTTTTCTCATGCCTCATTCAAAAAGCCAGAAATTTTCAAAGCCTTCTTACTTTGAACAAACTTTATTGTTAAAGTTTGTTTAAATTGTTAAAATATTGCTGTTAGTGCTTCAGTTTCTTTGTCTTAATTTCATATGCATTTTACACTTTAAGAAGCAGCTTAAACACTTTTAGACATATTCTCTAGCTATAATATTTTGTACCTTTTTGCATTGTTGCTCATTAATGGTTCTTTACAATCTTATGAAATATATCTTTCCTGCAGTCATTGAGGACCACAGGTATCTTCTTCATCTGTTTATATACATTTGTTCACAAACAAGTGAGACTTTTCATCCAACCAAAACATATTTACTTCACCCAGTCTCATTCTGTAATATAAATATGTCAAGTTTGAGGGCTATGTGGCAAGTCTGCAAGGTCCATTTATGATCATGAGTACAACTCCTCAAAACTTAGCCAAATTATTGCTGCTACTATAAGTGTAGATGCAGAAAGCATGGGGTTCTGCCAGAGCTCTGGGGGTGCTGACTCAACTTCTCAGTTAGAGTGGCTACAATGTGGCTACAATACTTAAGCAGGGAAATTTAATTTATTATTTTATTCTCAAAATCAAAAAATTAATTCAAGTTCCCACAACTAGGTTGTCTCTGGGGAGAATTACAGGGATCTTCAACTGAATCATCTTCTTTCTCTAAAAGAGCAGCAGGAACTAAACAACCATGCTTCTGTTTATATATATCTCAGAAAATTACAACCCTTTGAAATAGTAATTCTGTCCTGCAGCCTTTGGAGGGCTCTTTCAGATCTGCTGCCTGCTGCTGGAAGTCCCTGGACATTCCTCACTTGCCATGAAGACCTAATGCTGATCTTTAATAATTCCTGAAAACTCCATAAATCCATGTGTGGATTTCAACTGTGTTATTTTAGGACTGTACAAATACATGCTGGCATTGTTGCAGGTTGAGTTTCTTAATTAAGATAATCCCCCTGTGTATATTAAATATTTGTATGTGTGTGAGCAAGACATCTGCTTTTGCTTCCTTTCTTCTTTGGAGACGTTGCTTAGGAGTCTGATAATTGAGATCCCCTTCTTTCAGTCAGAAGCTTTTGCCTGAAGTGCTGTGAATTAGGAAGTGGTTTGCCATGTGGTCTCACTTCTAGCAGGTTCCTCCTTGTTTTTCACAAGCTAATTGAATTTGGCATCATGACATATACCTATGTAATTCACACCAAAACCACTATATATAAAAGACGTGATAGAAAAAGCTAATTAGGCATTGCAAAGTACCCTATAAAACCAACTCCAGACATGAACTATTATTAGCTAGAAGCAGCTTTGTAAATTGTGTACCTTCTTTATTTTTCTGTCTGCTGATCAAGTTGGTGTGCTGAAAGTAAAGCAAAAGGCTGCTAGCCCTTCTGATCAGTCAAACCTCAGCTTTTGGTTTGCAAATGCTACAGCTTCCCATTGCCTTTCTGCTTGCTCTGATGGAAGCATCAAGGGCCATCAGTGGGAGGGGGACACTTAGAGCAGCCACAGAGAGAAGACCCAGAGAAGAGAAAAGGGTTTCCTTTGAGAGGCAGAGGAGATATGACACTGCTGTGCATGTGGGATAATGTGTATGAATATTGAAAGTAAAATGCCTCTGGAAGAATTTAATATATGGGTTTTTTTCTACAGGGATAGCCTTGGGTTAACTGGTTTAATTATTTTCATAAGAGGCTGTGGTGTTTTATATGGTCACTCATGACTGACGCTGACATTACTGTGGTTTTTGGCTGCTCTATTTCCTCTATGAATCAATCTAATAACAGTCAGGAATGAAGGGGTTCATCCCACCTAATTCCACTCACTCACAGAGAACCAATCTATTTTAAACTAATCACCCTCCCTCTGCACAATTGAGAGAGCAAGTAAGGTGGTAATTTATTTGTAAGTTAGAATAAGGTGAATGACTTACCATGAAGAATTGTAACTTTCTGTTAAATTTAGAAAATAAATTTATATTGGACAGATGTCATTTACACAGGTATAATTTAGATGAGGTAATTCTTCTTTCAATGCTTCCTGACTTTGCTTGGCAGGCTCAGGATAAATGGAAAGAGAACTTTGTGCCATGGGTCAAACCTGGCATGCACATACGAGTTTGCTGATAAACTGAGCTGGCAGGAGAGGACCTTTTTTCCTGTTTTCAGTATTACAGCCATGTGTAGCTTCTCAAGTCGGAGCTACTGTCCTCAGGCAAAGGCACAATGTAATCACAAGGACTGGGAGCATGTAAGAAGATGAAGTGGCTACTGTAATATAAAGTCAGATGTAACAGAGAGCTGACATTTAACTATTCTCAGAGGAATAGCAGGGCATTCTCATGTGATATTTTCCCCTCTGAGTCTGTGTATAAGAATATAATTAATTTTTCACAAGTCTATATAGCAAAGAATGTAAGAACCAGAGCTAGAAAAAAAAATTGTCACTTACCTCTAATCTTGAAGTTTCGTAAGGGAAATGATCACATGTTCATAAGAAACATTCTGTTTGTTATATAATAAGTAGGATATTCCCTACATTAACTTACAGGTTAAGTATTGACTAATTAATTAGTAGGATCTGCCATACCCCAAACCATATCACTTCTTTATTTAAATAGTGCAGCATTGCCAGATTGCTCTGGTCAAATTGAAATTCCAGAAAAAAAAGCTATGTTTCCAATGGATTCCTGGGTGGTGTAGCATTTTCAGTTATACAGCTTTTGCTGGGACAGCTTTTGGGTACCTGCCAAATGATGGCATCAGACATTTTAATTGCTGGGTTTTTAGCCTCATAATGATAATCAATTTTCCTCTAAGAATCAAGTTTCCATGTGGCATGTGTATGCATGGTAGCCACCCATTGCAAGTATTTGATTGCATTAATGAAAAGGGAGTACAAAGTGTAAGAAGTCTTTTTCTCAGTGAACTTGTTCAATCAACCAGTATAGTATGAGTACTGAATTTGTAGCCAAATCCTGAAACAAATATGCCCTCAAACCTGTAAGATCCTGGAAATTCTATTAGCAATTACTACTTTTACAGATTTCTAATTTTGTAACAGTTATAAAATCGTTTTCTCGATAGTCTGTACTAAAATCAGACTGATATTAAGTGAAGTAATTATGGAATCACATGTACAAAGGCCATATTTAGCTTTATCACTAAGAGATAAATACATCTGCTGTTCTATAACATGAGGCTTAATACTGTTTTCATTTCAGGCTTCTGTGGGTCTGAAACAAAGATGGATCAGATGAAGACAGGGAAGGGAAATGGGCAGATAGCAAATATTTAATTCATCTGTCCCCTTTAATTAAGGATTGTCAAGGGGCTGCACCTTTCTGCATCATGGGATGTCATTGCATTGCAGCTACACAGTCCTGAGAAAGGGGCTGGGACCCAGCTAATACAAATTATTTTTCTTTCAGCTGCTTGCATTTTTATCCTCAAAGTTTTGTATCTATCACATCCATTACTTTTAATGGGTTAAGAATGTTTGGTTTTGATGAGTTTTTTGGTATGCAGGTGTAAGTTTTTTCTATT